ACATTTAGTTTCATAAGGTATTGAAAAAAGCATTATTCATGGAGGGTGGAAAAAATTTTTACTCCAACCTTTGTATGCTGCTAACAGTCATACAGAACAGCTAAATGATTAAAGGAATACTGCAGAGTTGGGAAAGGTCAGAAGATTCCACATCACTTCAGAGAAATATGAATAATTCAGTTGACAGGACGAGGTCAACCAACTTATATTTTCCAGGTGAAATAAATTAGAAAATAAACATGTAAAAAGAAAACATTTTTTAATATATCAGGAGAAAAGGAAGTTTAGTTATATATATAGGCCTACAGATATATATATGTACATATATATAAATATATGTTTTTATGACATCTTCCCCTCTTAGCCAGAATTTATATGCTCGGTAGTGGGAGGAAAGGAATGTCATTAGTGATGGTATCCTCCCGGGATGGGAGAAGCATGCTGAAGGTAGACTATAGACCAAACATGATTGCCACTCATTGCCTCTTTTGTAAATCACAACACCCAATACGAGAGAGAGAACAAAATGGAATGTTCTGCCACAAAGGCAGGGTAGGATGGGGGGTATGGGGGGTGAGAGGGATACTGGGATCCATGGTGGTGGAAAATGGGCACTGGTGGAGGGATGGGTATTTGATCATTGTATAACTGAAACCCAAGCACAAAAATTTGTAAGTCTACAACTGTACCTCATGGTGTCTCACTAATAAAAATTTTTAAAAAATAATTGAACTCCACAAGAAGAAAACATCCAACCCCATCAAAAAATGGGGCAATGCAAGAATGGCCGAGATTAGTACCAGGAATTTTGCTCCATGGCTTGGAGGCCAGCAACACATGCGAGGGGAAAAGGCAGCTCAGATAGAGAAGGGAGCACCAAATAAAGTGTGTTGGGAGGATCCTCCCAGGATGGGAGAAGCATGCTGAAAATAGACTATAGACTCAATTCCTCTTTTGAAAACCACAACACCCAAAAGGAGAGAGAACAGAGGGGAATGCCCTGCCACAGAGGCAGGGTGGGATGTGGGGGATGGGAGATGGGAGGGATACTGGGATCCTTGGTTGTGGGAAATGGGCACTGGTGGAGGGATAGGTATTTGATCACTGTATAAATGAAACCCAAGAACAAAATTTGTAAGTCTACAACTGTACCTCATGGTGTCTCACTAAAAAAATTTTTTAAAAAAATGGGGCGATGAAATGAATAGAAACTTTCTCAAAGAAGATATCCGAATAGCTAAAAGGCACATGAGAAAATGCTCTACGTCATTAACCATCAGGGAGATGCAGATCAAAACCACAATGAGATATCATTTCACACCACAGAGACTGGCGCACATCCAAAAGTACAAAGGCAACTGGTGTTGGCGCAGATGTGGCGAAAAAGGGACCCTCCATCACTGCTGGTGGGAATGCCGATTGGTTCAGCTCTTTTGGAAAACAGTATGGATGATTCTCAAAAAATTAGAAACTGAGCTCCCATTTCACCCAGCAATACCACTCTTGGGAATATATCCCAGAGAGGCAAAAAGTATAGTCAAAATGACATGTGCACTTGTTTGTTCATTGCAGCACTCTTTACAATAGCCAGAATCTGGAAAATTCCTGAGTGCCCGAGAACAGATGACTGGTTAAAGAAACTTTGGTACATTTACACAATGGAGTACTATGTAGTGGTTAGAACAGATGATGTCATTAAATTTACATACAAGTGGTACTACATGGAAAGTATCATGTTAAGGGAAATGAGTCAGAAAGAGAGGCATAGACATGGAAAGATTGCATTCATCTGGGGAACATAAAGTAACAAAATAGGAGACTAACACCCAAGAATGGCCGAGGTTAGTACCAGGAATTTTGCTTCATGGCTTGGAGGCCAGCCACACATGCTAGGGGAAAAGGCAGCTCAGATAGAGAAGGGAGCACCAAATAAAGGGTGTTGGGAGGATCCTCCCAGGATGGGAGAAGCATGCTGAAAGTAGACTATAGACCAAACATGATTGCCACTCAATGCCTCTTTTGCAAACCACAACACCCAGAAGGAGAGAGAGAACAAAAGGGAATGCCCTGCCCCAGAGGCAGGGTGGGATGGGGTATGGGGGGTGGGAGGGATACTGGGATCCGAGGTGGTGGGAAATGGGTACTGATGGAGGGATGGGTATTTGATCATTGTATAATTGAAACCCTAGCACAAAAATTTTAAGTCTACAACTGTACCTCATGGTGTCTAACTAATAAAAATTTTTTAAAAATAATAATTATTTGGGGAGGCTGGAGCCATAGCACAGCAGGTAGGGTGTCTGCCTTGCACATGACTGACCCGGATTAGATTTCCAGCATCCCATGTGGTCCCCTGAGTACCGTAAGGGGTAATTCCTGAGTGCTGAGCCAGGAGTGACCCAAAAATAAAAAAAAATATATTTTTAAAATCAAAGAAAGACAATAGAATTGGAATAATAGAGTCATGAATTTAAATAGCTATGATTCTCTCTGTTGAATGAATTGTCCAACAGGACATGCCTCTTGTGAGAGGCTTGGGAAAGTAGAGACTTGAAGGAGCCCTAATACAAGTAGGTATTTTTTTTTTATTTTTATTAGTGAAACACCATAGGTACAGTTGTAGATTTACAAATTTTTGTGCTTGGGTTTCAATTATACAATGATCAAACATCCATCCCTCCACCAGTGCCTATTTTCCACCAAAATTGGAATGATACAGAGAAGATTAGCATGGCCCCTGCACAAGGTTGACACACAAATTCCTGAAGCATTCCATACTTTTCTCTATCATTGTATAACTGAAACACAAACACAAAAATTTGTAAGTCTACAACTTTACCTCATGGTATTTCACTAATAAAAATTTAAGGAAAAAAAGAAAAGAAAGATTTATAATATGTACCACTGTAGCACTGCCTTCCCACTGTTCATCGAGTTGTTCGAGTGGACTCAGTAATGTCTCCATTGAGAGACTTGTTGCTTCTGTGTTTGGCATATTGAATATGTCATGGGTAGCTTGCCAGGCTTTGCCATGAGGGCGAGATACTCTCAGTAGCTTGCCGGGCTCTCTGAGAGGGGTGGAGGAATCAAACCCTGGTCAGCCGTGTTGGCCACGTGCAAGGCAAACGCCTTACCCACTGCGCTATCACTCCAGCCCTATAATATGTACAGAACTAAAAGATAAGCCAATTTGCTACATGAGCAAGCAAAGAGGGAGAGGCAAAAATCAAAAACCAAAACAAATGGAAGGGACTTCAGGAGTGAAGTAATATGGATAAGTGAGAAGTCCAGTGAGAAAGGAGATGGAAATGGAATGCCAAGGAACTAAGAGAAATGTTCTTGGTCACATATTCAGGCTCTCAAGGTACTCAAGAATTGCTGAAACAACAGGACGGGGAACGGAGTTCTTCCCCATACCCCACTATCTAGGTGACTCAGCAGTCCCGCCCATAAGCCACCTCTAGCTGGCGATGAATCATTTCTTCATCAGTCACCATCCAGATCACACATCCTTGTCTCCAAGAAGGGAACACAAAATGCCGCTCGCCATAACCATGGAGCATAAAATGCCGCTCGCCATAACCATGCCACCAGATCCCACACCAGGCTGTTTCACTCTGGGTGCCCCAGAGAGGGGCAGGTGAGAACCCTCCCTGCCCCAAGGGACCCAACCCCACTGCTGAAAATCTCCAGAACTCAGCCGCCACCATGCCCACTGCCGTTTTCCACACGCTCGGGCAGAGCATTACCCATGAGTGAATTTATTCCTGGACCTGCACTGCACCACACACCCTACTCATACTCCAACATTACGGCACCACATTTGATAAGGTTCAAAGTAGGAGGAAACCAATCTTAGAGAGAAATATACATTTTTACAGATATATATATATATATATAAAGCACACAAGGCTCAACCTTTAACAACATGTAAGTGATCTCTTATAGAAGGGCTTAATGGCCCATGGGTGAAATACAACAATCTCCACACTCTTTCCTCTAAAGATACATTTTCGTAGCATTTTCAGTGGTTTTTCTAACAAACAATGCAAAATATATTATTTCAGTTATATTCTGGAGCAGGGATTGGGGTTAGGGATGGAAACATCTGAAATATGGTGGTAGGAAGGTGTAATAGTGCTGGGATTGTTGTTTGAATATTAAATGTAATTAAATATTGTGAACTAGGGGCTGGAGCAATAGTACAGCAGGTAGGGTGTTTGTCTTACACGCGGCCAACCCAGGTTCAATTCCCAGCATCCCATCTGATCCCCTGAGCACTGCCAGGAGTAATTCCTGAGTGCATGAGCCAGGAGTATATATATCTATATCTATATCTATATCTATATCTATATCTATATCTATATCTTATCTATCTATCTATCTAGTAAACTACTTTATAAAATAAAAAAATATAAAAAAAGAAGAACTGATGAAACTACTATATCCCTATACTTTGATATTTGGCATATACTTTTAAGGGATAACACTAAAAACAGTGGAACATTCACATCCTACGAGGGAAATATAGGCAGCATCAGCAACAACAGAAGTGCAAAACCCTAAAATTATTCCCCCAGGGGCTTTCAAATTACTCAGAGTAATGACTACTATTTATGTAAATTATAAAGTCCATGCAACTAACTTTTGCTATCTTAGATCTTAAATATATCTCCTTATTCACATATCTAAACCAGGTCTCATGTTCATGAAGCAGACTGCACAAGAGAAAAATCCATATTAAATTTTCTCTTTCCTTTCCTCCAATCAGTTCAATTCTGTATCTTAAAGAAATAAAATAAAATAATATAAAAATTATAGACAATTTCCTGTCTTTGAGGCATTACAACTAATTATGGACTGTACAAGCAAGTATCACTGTCATTGTCACTGTCCTCCCATTGTTCATCGATTTGCTCGAGCGGGTTCAGATACGTCTCCATTTTGAGATTTATATTATAATATTATAATGATCATAACATAAAAACAAAGATCCTTACCAAATGAGGGTGACTCCCTTCCATCCTCTAATCCAGAATCTCTTTCTCTGTCTCTCTTTCTGTGTTTATGACCACGATGCCGATGACGTCTGTGACTTCTTCTTCCTCCCAGAGGCACATGCACTCCAATAAACAGAGTCCGGTGACCTTTATCAGAAACACAAAAATTAAACTCTAATTTATTCCAGGGCACAAAAAGTGATTTATCTATTAATGGAAATTCAAGCCAATTCAATCTAGCAAATCGTTTTTTCAGTTTTGATGATTTACAAAGGTTGGGATTCTTATATGATAATTTGGCACCATTTGATAGGTAATTAACAGATATTTTAATGCTTATTTAAGTGTTTCATGGGTCTATCATAACATAACATAATACTGATTATTTGGTTACATATTTACAATCACCATTTATCTTAACTATCCATTTCCACAGCCTACAATTAAACTTTTCTCATTAAACATGGCTTTCTCCTTACCCTCAGCTGTGCTCTATCACTAATTTTCTACCCTTTACAGTGAATTGTATGAAATAAACATTATCTCTAATAAACAACAAGCCACAAGGTGCCTTAGTATTGCCCAATCCTATGGACCTTTTTTGAGTTTTATTGTTTCTATACACAACAATACCATTAACTATTTTCTGTGCTTTTACTGTCATTTTTTCTTCCTTCTCCTCCACTTCATCTTAATCATTAGGGTCCATTCAAAGGAATGTCAAACTCATATCCCTGTATTCATTCTTTTCTTTGATTTCCAAGTATCAGCTATCATCAATCTCAGTTAATATATCATTGAGTCAGTGATGGACTGTGATGAAGGAAAAGTATGACACTTTGGTGATGGGGGTTTGTGGGAAAAGGTAACAATGTACACCTAAAGCATATAAATATTTACACATTTATAAACTACTAATGTTAGAACCAAAAGTAATACACCTAAAATTAAGTAATAAAAAGGTACTTAGCAGTGGTGATTATAATTAACAAATAAATTAAGAAATTAATATTAAATGTATAAAACATCAATTTATTTTTTAAAATCTAATTAATGACCAGATTCTCTATTAAATCCATTCCTTTTCATTTAGACACTCATCATATGTCACTAGGACTATTAGAATATTCTCTTCACTGTCTTTTTTTTTTTATCACTGTGAGATACAGTTACAAAGCTTTCCTGTTTGAGTTTCAGTCATACAATCATTGATCACCCTACCCTCCACCAATGCACATCTTCCACCACAAAGAACCCCAGTATCCCTTCATCCTACCCCTTCCACTGCCTCTTTGGCAGACAATCTCCCCCATACTCTCTTTTGTATTGCTTTTTATGAATAGCCTAAGATGTTGTGCAGGGGCAAGAGCGGTTGCGTGCTCCTATTACTCCTAAATTCCAGATAATTGGGGTCTGAAGAAATCTCTGCAGCAAGCTGCTCAGTTTGGAGTTTCTTTTCTTGGCCACCAAGGAGCTTAAGAGGCAGTTTGTATGCATGACTTCCAGGGTCCCATGGGGGACAGAGGGTGGGTGGGGGATGAGAAGGACTGGCCCATCCCCTATCACTTGAGGCCTGAAGTCTTTTTTTAACTGAAATCTTCTCCCACCTTTTCTCAAAGATGAATGGCAAAGGCTTTTTATTTACAAATCTAATTGCATTGCACGTCTGATAAAAGTCACGCAGCACTCTCTCTTGCCTGTAGGATAAAGTTTTTAATACTGTACAAGTCTAAACAATATCTAACTTATTTCTATAGTCAGTCTTCTAAATTCATTCTGACACATACTATTAGTCAGTGCATATTCCTTTATTCTTGAATTACCAGATGGTCTCAAGTCCTTCTGCTTTTACTTACGGCTGTTGTTATTTTTCTAACTATTATAAAGCATCTCACCTGACTATCTTATAGTTACTTATTCACTTCCCAAGTCCTCATTCAAGTCCCTGAATCACATATAAACAAATACAGGTATTATATAAATATAGATATGAAAAAATAAGAATTTATACAGAAATACTACTTATAAATATAACCCTAAACCCATTCACAAAAAGTATAAATCAAATGAAGTGGCATTTATTCACAGATTAGATATATACTAGAATGAAAAAAAAACTGTAGATATGACAAGAATTGAATCTCATAGAATTTGTGTAAAATAAAAGAACAATTCCCTTTATTTAAATCCAAGAAATAGGGGAAAAAACCCACGATGTTCAGAGATACAAATACAGGAAAAAGATATAAGCAAAAGTCAGACTACTTGTTACCTCTAGCATGAAAATGAATAGGAATTGTGATTTGGAAAGGCTGGGTTTTATTTTGTTTCAAGTTTGGTTTTCCCTTTGGGGCCGCTCTCAGTCAAGCATAGGTTGGAGTTACTTGGAGGCCCAGTATCAGGCATTGATAGCAGTAGTGTCTGAGGCCACATGCAGTTGTACTGGGGTGGAGACACGTAGTGCTTGTGTTCAAAATCAGAAGTCTGCACGTGTTAAGCAAGTGCCTTCTCTACACTTGAATTATTGTCCTTGACATAGAAATGTTCTATTGTGCCATTTTATACGTTTTGTTCCTCTATACTTTTTCCTACAGATATGATTCATTTGACAATGAAAAAAATAAAGAGTTTCAAAAAGAAGGGGAGGGAACCTGGTTTATATGTTATGAAAGAGCAAGCATGGTTAAAATTTTTTCTACTACAGTGGAAATCAAATGTTCACCTGTAATCTTGAGAGCATATTCAGTGGAAGAACAAATGAACTGAGTAAGTTAGTTAATGAATGCTTCCAACATATGCAAATAAAAAGTCTGTGTAGAGAATTAAAATTTAAATTTTTACTGAAAAGTTCAAAGGCTTCTAACAATGATTAGACTATTAACAATAACAATAATTGACTATAATGATCATTCCATATGACAAAATAAGGAGCATTATGAAGCAGGTTGGATATTCTAGAGGTCATGATGGGTATTATTATTGTTGTTGTTGTTGTTGTTATTATCAACTTTCTAGAAAATGGATATGAGAAGCACTGCCAAAGGTAACATCCCAATAAATTGCCAAGTCTAAAATGAATGACCTGAAACCATATACAAATACAGTCAGATAAGAAGAGAATACAAAGATACACAGCATAGATCCAAGGAAGACAACTCTTCAGGAATTTTCTGAGGCAGAATTTAATAAGAATAAATTATTAAGTATTTATTTATTTATTTATTTTGCTTTTTGGGTCACACCCAGCGATGCTCAGGGGTTACTCCTGGCTCTGCACTCAGGAACTACTCCTGGCGGTGCTTGAGGGACCATATGGGATGATTGAACCCAGGTGGGCCTCGTGCAAGGCAAATACTGTACCTGCTGCTGTACTAACACTCTGACCCCCAATATTGATTTTTTGGGCAAAAGAGTCAGACTAGTTGTTACCTCTAGCATGAAAATGAATAGGAATTGTGATTTGGAAAAGGCTGGGTTTTATTTTGTGTCAAGTTTGGTTTTCCCTTTGGGGCCGCTCTCAGTCAAGCATAGGTTGGTGTTACTTGGAGGCCAATATGTTACTTTTGGGCAAATATGCACAAGTGTAATTGTTGGATCATGTGGTAGGTTTATGTAGAGCTTTGTAAGAAATATTTTCTGCCAAAGTGGATTTACCATTTTTCATTCCAATCAGTAGAAAATGAGAATTCTTGTTGTCCTACTTTATTGCCAACGATTGGTACTATAAGCATTTTGGACATTACCTAGACTAATAAGTGTGCAATCATATTCATTGCTTTAATGATTCCCTAATAACATAGAAAACTGAACATATTTTCACATTTTTATTTACCCTCTGTGTATCTTGGGTAAAAGTCTGTTCTGACCTTTTCCTATTTTGTGATTGGATTTCGTGTTTTTTTATGGCCTCCACAAAAATTCATGTTTAAGGCTTTATCAGTGTGGATGTATTTAGAGATAGAACCTTAATGAAGGTTACTAAAGTCAATGATGTCATAAGATGAAAACTATGACCAACAGGATTGCTGTCCTAATAAGGAAGGATATCAGAAAGCTCATGGTTTTCCCACTTTTCCATGTAAAAGAGATCATATGAGCACACATCCAATGTCGAATACCAACAAGCTAAGAGGCCTCTCAGAGTAAAATCTACTTTAGAGGGTTTGATATTAGACTTCAGTCGGCAGGACTGTGAAAATATGTATTTTTATCCTCAAAACTTCCCAGTCTCTGGCACTTGATTATGGCAGCCTCAGATAACTACTACAGAAAGGAAAGTATAGCATTGTAGCACAATCCTCCTGTTGTTCATGGATTTGCTCGAGCGGGCACCAGTAACGTCTCTTTTGTGAGACTTGTTACTGTGTTTGTCATATCGAATACATCATGGGTAGCTTGCCAGGCTTTTCCGTGCGGGTGTAATACTCTCAGTAGCTTGCCAGGCTCTCCAAGAAGGGCAGAGGAATCAAACCCCGGTCGACCGTGTGCAAGAGAAACACCCTACCCACCATGCTATGACTCTGGTCCAAGGAAAGTATAAATTAAAATAATTCTTGTAATATTTAAGTTACAGAAAACATGCAATCAAAGTTGTGATATTTCTAAAATAATTAATGCGCGACTATTTATTTAATTTTCTCTAAATTTTCAGGGTACCTTAAATATCCTTAAATATCCAACCCACACGGCAGAGCCTGGCAAGCTATCCGTGGTCTATGCCAAATAGAACAAATTGATATGCCAAATCCAGTAATAAATGGATCTCATTTCCCTAACCCTGAATATGCAGAGTCGAGAAGGATATGGAAGGAGAAGCTGATAAAACACCAAGGCAGACATAGGCTGCCAAAACGCAGAAAAACAAAAATGATTGTCTGTACTTTTAATGCTCGTACGCTGGCATCTGCTGCATCCATTGAAGACCTTATGGTACAAGCACAAAAGATCAAGTACGACATCATTGGTCTGACCGAAACGAGAAGACATCAATCCCATCATGCTGTTTTCGACACTGGAGAAGAACTGTTCCTTGGAACATGTGATAAAAGAGGCGTCGGTGGTGTCGGTATCCTTGTCAACACAAACTTAGTCACAAGCATTGATTCATTTGAATGCCTAACAACCCGAATCGGACGATTACACTTGAA